ACAAGCACCGAAATTGAAGCTGTGATCAAAAATCTTCCAAAAAACAAAAGCCCAGGACCAGATGGCTTCACAGGAGAATTCTATCAAACATTCTGAGAAGAGCTAATGCCTATCCTTCTAAAACCCTTTCAAAAAACTGCAGAGGAAGGAACACTTCCAAACTCATTCTATGAGGCCACCATCACCCTGATACCAAAACCAGACAAAGACAACACACAAAAAGAAAACTACAGGCCAATATCATTGATGAACATAGATGCACAAATCCTCAACAAAATTTTAGCAAATAGAATTCGGCAACACATCAAAAAACTCATATACCATGATCAAGTTGGGAATGCAACTTGATTCCTTGCAGGAATGCAAGGATTCTTCAATATACGCAAATCAATCAGTATGATACACCATATTAACAAATTGAAAGATAAAAACCATATGATAATCTCAATAGATGCAGAAAAAGCCTTTGAAAAACTTCAGCACCCATTTATGATTAAAATTCTTCAAAAAATAGGCATAGAAGGAACCTACCTCAACATAGTAAAGGCCATATATGATAAGCCTACAGCAAGCATTATTCTCAATGGTGAAAAACTGAAAGCATTCCCCCTAAGATCAGGAACAAGACAATGGTGCCCACTTTCACCATTATTACTCAACATAGTTCTGGAAGCCCTAGCTACAGAAATCAGAGAAAAAAAAAGAAATAAAAGGAATCCAGATCAGAAATGAAGAAGTAAAGCTCTCACTGTTTGCAGATGACATGATACTGTACATAGAAAACCCTAAAGATAGTATCAGAAAATTACTAGAGTTAATCAGTGAATTTAGCAAAGTTGCAGGTACAAAATCAATATGCAGAAGTCGCTTGCATTTCTATATATTAACAATGAAAAATCAGACAGAGAAATTAAGGAATTGATCCCATTCACCACTGCAACAAAAAGAATTACATATCTAGGAATAAACTTACATAAGGAGACAAAAGAACTGTACATAGAAAATTATAAGACACTGATGAAAGAAATCAAAGATGACATAAACAGATGGAGGGATAGTCCATGATCCTGGGTAGGAAGAATCAATATTGTGAAAATGACTATACTACCAAATGCAATCTACAGATTCAACGTGATTCCTATCAAATTACCAATGGCATTTTTCACAGAACTAGAACAAAAAAATTTCACAATTCATATGGAAACACAAAAGACCCCGAATAGCCAAAGCAGTCTTAAGAAAGAAGAATGGAGCTGGAGGAATCAACCTTCCTGACTTCAGATTATACTACAAAGCTACAGTCATCAAGACAGTATGGTGCTGGCACAAAAACAGAAATGTAGACCAATGGAACAAGACAGAAAGCCCAGAAATAAACCCAAGTACCTATGGGTACCTTATTTTTTTTTTCCATCCCACTGCCCAGGGCCTTCTGTATCCCTCCCCTGACCTCTACTTCCTCTGCCACCAATTGGAGACCCACCCACGAAGACTGGTCACCCATGGATGCTGATCCTCTGATGGCCAAGGTCAGGTCCCTGCTTTGTGCCCAGAAACAACTTGTCTGCTGCCCACCATGGGGTTTCCCAGTGAAAGGCTGTTGCTGAACCACAGAAAAGACACCGGGATTCTTGGCCTCCGGAGGAGAAGAATTCAATCTGGGGCCAGAGACGAGGTTTGACCGCTCAGAGCTTTTGTGTAATAAAGTTTTATTAAAGTATAAAGGAGATAGAGAAAACTTCTGACATAGGCATCAGAAGGGGGCAGAAAGAGTACCCCCTTGCTAGTGTTAGTCATGGAGTTATATACTCTCTAATTAGTTATTAAGTGTATAAGTGTAAGTGTGTAGTTGCTCAGTCATGTCCGAAGGGTACCTTATTTTGACAAAGAAGGTAAGAATATACAGTGGGGAAAGACAGCCTCTTCAATAAATGTTGCTGGGGAAACTGGAGCTACATGTAAAAGAATGAAATTTAGAACACTTCCTAACACCATACACAAAGATAAACTCAAAATGGATTAAAGACCTAAATGTAAGATCAGAAACTATAAAACTTTTAGAGGAAAACATAGAATATTCAATCAAAGCAAGATCCTCTTTGACCCACCTCCTAGGGTAAAGGAAATAAAAACAAAAGTAAACAAGTGGGACCTGATTAAACTTAAAAGTTTTTGCACAGCAAAGGAAACTATAAGCAAGGTGAAAAAACAACCCTCAGAATGGGAGAAAATAATAGCAAATGAAACAACTGACAAAGGATTAATTTCCAAAATATACAAGCAACTCATATAACTCAATACCAGAAAAACAAACAACCCAATCAAAAAGTGGGGAAAAGACCTAAACAGAAATTTCTCCAAAGAAGACATACAGATGGCTAACAAACATATGAAAAGATGCTCAACATTGCTCATTATTAGAGAAAAGCAAATCAAAACTACAATGAAATATAGCCTCACACCAGTCAGAATGGCCATCATCAAAAAGTCTACAAACAATAAATGCTGGAGAGGGTGTGGAAAAAAGGGAATGCTCTTGCACTGTTGGTGCGAATGTAAATTGATACAGTCACTATGGAAGACAGTATGGAGATTCCTTAAAAAACTAGGAATAAAACCACCATATGACCCAGCAATCCCACTCGTAGGCATATACCCTGAGGAAACCAAAGTTGAAAAAGACATATGTATCCCATTGTTCATTGCAGCACTATTTACAATAGCTAGAACATGGAAGCACCTAGATGTCCATGGACAGATGAATGGATAAAGAAGTTGTAGTACATACACACAATAGAATATTACTCAGCCATAAAATGGAACGCATTTGAGTCAGTTCTGATGAGGTGGATGAACCGAACCTATTATACAGAGTGAAGTGAGTCAGAAAGAGAAAGATAAATATCATATTCCAACGCACATATACAGAATCTAGAAAAATGGTACTGAAGAATTTATTTACAGGGCAGCGATGGGGCTTCCCTAGTGGCTCAGAGGGTAAAACGTCTGCCTGGAATGTGGGAGACCTGGGTTCAATCCCTGCGTTGGGAAGATCCCCTGGAGAAGGAACTGGCAACCCACTCCAGTTTTCTTGCCTGGAGAATCCCACAGACAGAGGAGCCTGGTAGGCTATAGTCCACGGGGTCGCAAAGAGTAGAACACAACTGACCAACTTCACTAACAGAGACATAGAGAATAGACTTACGGACATGGGGAGAGGGGAGGAGAGGGTTAGATGTATGGAAATAACATGGAAACTTACAGTAGCATATGTAAAAGACAGCCAATGGGAATCTGCTGTATGGCTCAGAAAACTCAAACAGGGGCTCTGTATCAACCTAGAGGGGTGGAATGCAGAGGGAGATGGGAGGGAGGTTTCAAAAGGTAGGGGATATATGTGTACTTATGGCTGATTCATGTTGAGGTTTGACAGAAAACAACAAAATTCTGTAAAGCAATTATCTTTCAATAAAAAAAAAAAAGAATTAAATCCAAACTTCTTTTTACAGATACAGGCTAGTTAGTACAGGCCGTGAGACTCTCTTAGCAAGTGATTTCATATTCTGTGAACAAAGTGGGGGGAAAAAAGGGTCAGTTGGACATGCCTTTGATTCTAAGTCAGATTTCAACTTTAGAGATATAAAAATGTGAACTAAAGGTATATTTTAAGGTCAACAGAGTTGAGAGCTCTATAGTTGAGTTTAGAACGTTCTTTTCTTCCCATTGTGTATCAGAATACTCTAAACCCCATAACCCAGTTGGATTCCTTATTTAAATAAGTAGTTGAGAGTCACAGTCACATTTGAATTAATGTTCTTTCTCTCCTTTCCCTCTATTAATTTCATTCCACCTCAAGGTTTTAAATAAATACCATCTACACACAGACAACTCCCAAGTTTTTATCTCTAGTCCAATTCTCACCCCTGAACTTCACTCACATCACTGTTTGGCATCTCCACTTAGATGTCTTCTTGCTACCTCAAACTTATCATGGTCAAACAGAGCTCTGGATTCTCCCACTCCTCACTCAGGCTTCCCATCTCAATATACAGGATCACCATCCACCCAGTTATTCAAATCAAAAGTCTAGGATCATCTTTTTGTCTTGAACAAAAAAATTGGGATTTGTGAAAGAAAATGTTTATTCTAAAGTAAAGAAACTAATTAATATAAAATGTTTTTTAAAATTTTTATTTGGGAACAATGCCAAACTTACATAAAGTTGCAAAATTATAAATAATTTAAAGAATATCCATATACTCTTTACCTAGATTTGCCTACTGTTAACATTTTATCCCATTTGCAATATCATTTGCACTCTTTCTGAACATGTCTATGTGTAGAATATATACAACTTTTTACCTGAACCTTTCAAGTTAAGTTATATATATATAATGGCTCTTTACCACTAAATGCTTTGATGTTTATTTCCTAAAAACAGGAATTTTATATACTCACAGAACAGTTATCAAATTCATAAGTTTACCTTGATTTACCACCTTATTGTTCACAGTTGAAAACTGACCTAATAATGTCCTTCACAGTATTTCCTTTTCCACTATCAAACACAGTATAAGGGTCAGGTATTGAACTTAGTTGACATATTTCTTTAGACTCCTTTAACCTGGACATTCAGGATCATCTCTGACTCTATTTTTTCTTTTATATCCCACAGCTAATCCATCACCAAGTCCTGCCAGCTCTATCTCCTAAATATAAGCATAAGTTTCCACCCTGGAGAAGGATATGAAGCATTCATCAAGACAAACTATATCAATAAATACTGTAGCTAATATAAAGAAATGCAAATTAAAATACTGGATTAAATAAAATGTTATTAAAATTCATCTCTTCTTTAAAAATGTGGCTACTAAAAAAAAAAATAAAAAAAATAAAAATGTGGCTACTAGAAAATTTTACATTACACATGTGGCTCACATTACATCTTTACTGGACAGCTCTAATTTGACAGAAGTGAATTGAAAAACATTTGATCTCACCTGAGTAACATCTGATTTTCCTGTTTGCATGCAAAGGAAGTTTTTCTTTTTAACAGCTGCTCCTTGAGTTTCTGTCTTCTTTGCTCTAAATAACAAAAGAGCTACAGGTCAGCATCATATACAATGACATCAAATAAAATACTGATAAAAAAATACTGATTTAATTTCTAAAAATATTCTACTTGAGATCACATATTGTCTATAACCGAAAATTTCCCATTTCAGTACTGCCTTTGAGAAATAATCATATTTTTAAATGACTGTTGCTATAACTGGTCCCCATAACCACTCTGAACAAGAATAACATTCCCTACTGTCCGAAAGTGAAAAGTCTGGAGAGCATCACTGTCGACATACAGTTCCTGAAAACTAAGTATCAAGAGCTAAACGGTAGAGATGAGACACCTGACTCCAAGTTCTAATTTACCAGAAGTGGGTGAGAATTTGTTTTCCTATCCATAGGCCAAGAAATAGCTATTATTTCTGAAAACCTGGGTCACTCGAGATTTCTCTGAACTCGAAGGCAACATGCGTTCAATCTGAAGCATCAGATGCGCACACCCTTCTCTCCAGAAATGAACTCCCGACTCGGGATGCGGGAGTGGACAACTCTAGATTTCTCTTAACTCGAAGGCAACGTGCCTTCAATCTGAAGCATCAAACGCGCACATTCTTCGCTACAGAAATGAACTCCCGTCTCGGGAGGCGAGAGGGCCCTGCGCAGGCGCAGTACAGCTCCCCGGGCGGACGCGGCCCCGCCCCGCCCCCACAGGCCCGGGAGCCCCGCACACTCGCTCCTACCCTGCCCCGGGCTAAACGGGTTCTCTCACCTGAGACGCGTCTCCCCCACCAGCCGGTCACGACCGCACGCAAGGCGCTCAACCCGTACACTAACACCGCACAGCGGGCACCACTCCGATTGTCCAGTTCATAAAGGCCGAGAACGCGGCCGCGAGAGGCCGAGCGCCCCGTGCGGGCTTCTCACACAACCGTGCAGGGGTTGGGGGCGGGGGAAGCCGGTCTGCGGCCCCGCGGCCCTGACGGCCTTGCCCGAGCCATCCCGCCCCCGTGGCCGCCCCGGCCCCTCAGGCAAACGATCCGCCGTCGGGCTCGCGCCGCTCCCGCCACGATGGGCCTCACCTCTGAACGCGGACTGGGCCCTCTGACTCGGGTTCAACTCCAGGTCCTGGGGGATAGCTGGGGTGCTCATCGCAGCTCGGGGCAGCGGGGTACTCGTCTCCGGCGTAGACACCCTGCGGACGCCGCCGCTGTTGTCTGCCTCTGGGCGCGCGGGGCTCTGCCTTAGACAGCGCGGCCGCCCATTGGTGCTCGGCGTGAATTGAACGAGCCAATGGGCGCGGAGGGGCGTGGCCTGAGCTACGGTTGCAGAGGCGGGGCTTGCGTCGCCCGTCTTCGGTTAGGACCGCTCTGGAGTGAGTACGTGGGTTTTCAAACCTAAACAGCGTGCATGGGGTTGGGCTTGGGCTTGGACTTGGCCATGTGAAAGGAGTAGGCCTGCTACGTCTCTGCTCAGTCGCAGATAGAGCTCTTCTTTAGACGCTCACAGTGCATTGAGGAAGGCAGAGGAGAAAAGTGTTGTCTGGTGTGTTTACTGAGGGTTATAAGCGCCCACTGCCGTACGGAGAGCGTGTGTGTTTCTGAAATGAGGGTCTACTCTTCCTGCAATGCAAGAGACGAAGGCTCCATCCCTGAGAAGATTCCCTGGAGAAGGGAATGGCAACTCACTCCAGTACTCTTGCCTAAAAATGCCATGGACAGAGGAGCCCGGCCGGCCCCAGCCCAAGGGGTCGCAAAGAATTGGACAGCACTGAACGACTAACACTTTTCTTTCACTTTTTCCTCTGTACTACACAATTATCAGATGTACTACACAATTATCTGTCAGAAAAAGAGGAGAGGAAGAGAAAAGTTTAAAATGAGGATAAACCCTTGGTTTATAATCCTGTGAAGGCAAACCCAGCGTTTCTCGCAGGCATTTTGTGTTATTTGTACGTTTAAGTGTGCTGCCATAATCTTTCAGTCCTCATCCAAAAATATTAACTTCATAAAACACTCGCAAACACCTAATGGATGAGACAAAATGAAATAATTTAGACCTAGATGGTTTTCTGAATGATGAGGAGTGGGTGGAGAGAGAGAGTTCTGGGCTGTGCCTTTCTGGTTTTGAGTACAGTGATCATACCTTTTCTCTGCCTTGCTTGATCACTGAACCTAGGTTTGGCTGGAATGTTTCAGCTAGATTTTAAAGGTGGAGAAAGAGACAGGAAGATGTAATCCCAATCTTCCCTGCCCATGTTAGAGGGCCTCCACAGATGGCTGTCAACTGTGGAGAGATGGTCAGTTTTTCCCATCTTTCTCTGCTTTTTTTCCTTCAGGCATTTTATGCTAGAATCTTGCTAAATTAGTTTGGGAGGTTAGTTTGGGATATTTTGTAGTTTTGTTTTTTTCTTGATGAAATATCCCATTTTTAGTGTAACTTTGCCTACACTTAAGGCCATCTTTGGGAGAACCAACAGTCAAACAGCACCATCGCCAGCCCTAAGACATCACTGCTGTTTAGATATTACTGTGAATATTGTTGATTATTTACTAAAGTTTCACTAGACAGGTTGGGTCACCAGGGATTCCCATTAAGTGACAGAAAACAGTTTAACAAAATAGAACAGTTAAAAAGTGACTCGACCCTCCAAAGCATTATGCTAAATGAAAGAAGCTAGCCGCAAAAGGTCACATACATGGTATGATTCCATTTACATAAAATATCCAGAACAGATAGAGACATAGGGCTTCCCCGGTGGCCCAGAAGGTAAAGAATCTGCCTGCAATGCAGGAGACTGGGGCTTGATCCTTGGGTTGGGCAGATCCCCTGAAGAAGGGAATGGCTACCCACTCCAGTATTCTTGCCTGGAGAATTTCATGGATAGAGGAGCCTGGCAGGCTACAGTCCAAGGGGTCACAAAGAGACATAACCCAGATTGGGGGCTGCCAAGAACTGGAGTCAGAGGGAAATTAGGACAGACAACGGGTTAGGGGCTTTACTTTGAAGTGATGGAAATGTTTTGAAACTAAGTAGAAGGGCTGAAATTTTCAAGCTTCTATTCATGGCTTGGTCTTTCTGGTGATCAGCCCTCATTCAGGAACCATCCAGGAGCCCACCCGGAGTCATCTGATTAGAACAAGATATACTCCTATTGCTGTCATCACTATGGAATTTACTAGGGTTTCAGTTCTATGCGAGGTACCTGGGGCAGAGACCAATATGTATTTTCTATCTGACAATGGATGCATCTCAAAAACATGACATTATGTTTAAGAAGTCAGATACAAAGGACTACACACCTTATACTTTCATTTATATGAAATTCTAGAAAAGGCAAGACAATAGTGATAAAAAGCAGATCAGTGATTCTTAGAGGCCAGAAAGTATGTGTGGGGGGATTTGAATACAAAGGGATCCAAGGAAACTTTCTGGTGTGATAGTAATATTCTCTACATAATGGCTACACACACACACACACACACACACACATGTATTGGTAGTTAAAACTCATCAAATTGCATACTTAAAAACTGGTAAGTTTTATTGTATATAAATTATACCTAAATAAATAAAAGAACCCAAAAGAGAGGAAGGAAGGAAGGAAATTGTGCTCAACTGCATTTTTGGACAAGAGTCTCAGTGTTGAATTGCATCAAATGTCTTTTACAATTTCTTTGATGACCATTTAATTTTCTTCTGTGGTCTATCAGTGGGTTAAATTTTTTGTTAACTTTTTAAAAAACTTTTTATTTTATATTGAAGTATAGACAGTTAACAAGTTTGATAGTTTCAGGTGAACGGTGAAGGGACTCAGCCATATACATGTGCTGTGTGTGCTCTGATCCTTTGGGGCCCCAGGGACTGCAGCCCACCAGGTTCCTCTGTCCATGGGATTCTCCAGGCAAGAATACTGGAGTGGGTTGCCACTTCCTACTCCTGCGGATCTTCCCGACCCAGGGATCGAACCTGAGTCTCTTGTGTCTCCGAATTGGGAGGCGGGTTCTTTACCACTAGCGCCATGTGGGAAGCCTCAGCCATATATATACACATATTCATTGGGTTAAATTTTAATAATAGTTTTCCTAATATTGAATTGTATTTGTACTCCTTGGATAAACTGCACTTGAATTGCGCTGTCATTCTTTTACTATTCTGTTTATTTTTGCTATTAATAATATTTTAGTATAAACTTTTGCATTCATACTAATGTGACTGTTTTTTAGTATAGATTCCTGTGGTATTTTTGTTGAGTTTTGGGATTAGTGTTTTTCTGGCTTCACAAACAGAATTTGGAAACTTTCCTTTTTTATGCTCTGGAAAACTTTAACTGCTAAAAGAATTATTTTTTTCTGTCCAAGTTTTAAAGAATTCACCTGTGAATCTGTTTGGACCTGAAGTGTTTTCTGGTTTTCTTTTTTTGCTAACTCTTTGATAACTTTCCCAATTTTAGGCTTTAAAAATCCTTTTCTGGGGTTAATTTGAATGTTCATGGTCTCCCAGCACAAGTTTTCACATTCATTTGCACAGGGTTCTGAAAATCATCTTTTATGAGACTTGCAGATGTTCAATCCGAGTTTGTGTCACTCTTAGGGTGTCCAGTAGCTGATGCTCACGCACAGCCTGGAAAAGAAATCGATGATTTCAGGGGCAGTCCTTTCCCATGTTGAAATTTCCAAGTAGGATAAAGCATTTTGTTGTAATGAGCCAAACTGTATCTTCCAGAAACTCAAATCATATAATTTATCACTGGGAAGGGCATAAAGAAATGATCTGGACTCTGAGAATTCCCTGGCAATCCAGTGGTTAGGACTCTGTGCAGCACTGTAGGGGCAGAGGTTTGATTCCCCCGTCAGGGACCTAAGATCCCACATGGTGCAAGGCAAGGCCAAAACAATAACAACAAAAACCAGCCCAACTCTCATGCAATCTCACGTCCCCTTCTGTTTTTGAGCAAAGAAACCAACCCATTTCTTTGCTTTTCTTGGCAGCAAAATTCCTCAAAAGGATCATCTATGCTCCCTGTCTATAAGTCCCCTCCTCTTTTTCTCTTTTAAAATCAGATCATGAAGATTTTTTCTTCCACCATCCCATTGGACCACTCCTGCCAAGGCCACCAAAATGTCCACATGAGAAAAGTCGGGATCAGTCCCCCAGCACCTGCCTCATCAGCAGAATTGTCACAGCCCAGCTTTCCTCCTCGCAGTACCCCCTCTTCTCTTGGCTTCCAGAACCCCACACCTCCCTGGTTGTCTCCCTACCTCACCAGCAAGCAGCTCCTTCTCCATCTCTTTCTCCACACCCCTTCCTCCCCTGACCTGTATGCTTTGGTGTAAATGAATATTCTGCAGCTCCTGAGCAGGAGTTGTCCACACTGTTAGCCACTCTTCAGGACAAAGATCATCTTTTAATTAAAAGGCATTGAGAAATTGTCTCATCGGCAAGTGAAAAGAAGAAACAAGAATAGAGGGGAGGGAGGTGGGAGGGGGGTTCAGGATGTGGGGGACACATCTATACCTGTGGCTGATTCATGTTAATATATGGCCAAAACCAACACAACACTGTAATTATCCTCCAATTAAAGTAAATTAATTAAAATAATAAATGGTCAAGTGGCAAACAAATAACAAAAATGATAATATCTAATGTAGCCAGGGTAACTTGGCTTGGATGAAGAACAATTTGCTGGTGGTACTATGTCCTGCCTCAAGAAGTTCCCAATATGTAGCAGGTTTGCGAAACATGGGTTCAAACTCTTAAAAGCAGTCATCCTACTTTGGGAAGACACTCTAAGAAAATAATCCTAAAGGGGAAAATACATATCAGTTGTAGAAGTACAAATACAGGTGCTTCATTTATAATGCAAGATAGAGAAAGAAATGAAAGGGACGGCAGCCAAGGCCCAGCAGGTGGGAGTGGCAGTCAGGGACTAGTTTGCAGAGACCCATCCACAGGTAAATTATAATAGATCTATATAGTCCTGAAATACTACCTAGAGTAAATTTGTGAAGTCTGTGTTAATACTGGAAATGTTTAAATGAAAAGGATTTTAATTGGGAAAACAGTGGGGCACAAAATAGTACTTTTTTTCTTTTTTTTACAAAATAGTACTTACATATTGATTGAAGCTGTGTGAAAACAAATCAGGTCATAAATATTCATCTGGGAAAAAAGTTGTCAATGACAGGCTTTAATGAACACGGCAGCATGCTGGGAAGTGACAAGAAAACGGCACAAATATGCAGGAATAGTGTACAATCAGGAAGTCCGAGCTGCGTTCTGGGCTCCCTAAAAGTCTCTCGTAATCTCTGGGTTTGTGGCTGAGGACAAAGACTCTTTGAGAGTCCCTTGGACTGCAAGGATATCAAACCAGTCAATCCTAAAGGAAATCAACCCTGAATATTCATTGGAAGGACTGAAGCTGAAGCTCCAATACTTTGGCCGCCGGTTGCGAAGAGCCGACTCATTAGGAAAGACCCTGATGCTGGGAGATATTGAAGGCAGGAGAAGGGGATGAGAAAGGACGAGATGGTTGGATGGCATCACCGACTCGATGGAGACGAGTTTGAGCAAGCTCCGGGAGATGGTGAAGGACAGGGAAGCCTGGCGTGCTGCAGTCCATGGGGTCGCAGAGTCCGACACGACTGAGCGACTCAACAGGGACAAAGGATGGGGTGGACGATCCCACCGGGACTGTGGCCGATGGACCGCCAGGGGGCGCACCAAGCACGTCTCCACGTCCCCGGGCGCCCCCGGGGCCGCGCGCGCTCCGCAGGGCTCCGGGGCCAGACAGCTGCCTCCCTGCCGGCCTCCGCCCCGCCCGCCGCCAGGGGGCGCCGCAGGCTGCCCGGCGGCTCGGCTCGCCGTCCCGGAGCGCCAGCGCGGGCGAGCGGCGGAGGCCGGCCAGGCGGCGGCCATGGACCGCTTCGTGTGGACCAGCGGCCTCCTGGAGATCAACGAGACGCTGGTGATCCAGCAGCGGGGGGTGCGCATCTACGACGGCGAGGAGAAGGTAGGGCGGCGGCCGGCCGGGCCTCGCTCCGCGACCCCAGCTCCCCGGCTGGCCTCGCCGATCGGCGCAGCCCCCGCCGTCCACGCCCGCCCGGCGCCGGGCTCCGGCCCGACTCAGGAACGGCTCCCGGGGGGAGCGCGCGGGCGGCGTCCCTCTCCCAGCCCGGGGAGAGACCCCCGCTCCGGGGGGCAAGGCGGACGCGGGCAGGGAACCCCGAGTCCTCGTCCCCGGTCGCGGCGGCCAGGCCGGTTCCGCCTTTGGCCCGAGGCCGCCGGGTCCTGCGCTCCCGAACCGGGCGTGGCTTCGGGCGCCGGGACCTGGGGGAGCCCGGGGGACAGGGCGGTCCCGGCCGTAGCGGGAGCCGGGCGAACCGAAAGGATTTCCGAAGAGAAAATCCCGCCTCTCCTGGGACGCCTCGGCCAGAGGCTCTGTGTGTGTTGATTGCTTGTGGTCCGCGAGAGACGTTGGAAAGGAGGTTTGATTGTTGTGTCGAGTGATGGAACAGGCCGTGCCTGGTAATCCAAGCGTAAACCATAAAGAGGTGTTTTTGCAGATGGCAAGGAGAAATATTACCTGTGTTTCACGGACGCGTTAACATTCACTGGAGACTACCGTCATACTACGAACGATCATCCTGTTCTGAATGAAATGTATGAGATGGAATTAGGGAAAAAAATTTGCTCATCAGCATTTTTAGTTTCCAGAAGTTTTCACCTGCTACCTTCTCTTTGCTTGCAGTTTCCTTAGAGAGAAACTTCCTCCTGTACTTTGGAACCCGTTGCCTGACCCAGAGCTTTTCCGGTCTGTACTTGAGAGTCCAGGACGGGGCTTACACAGCCACCCAAGGCACCGCTGACATGCCTGGGGACCCCGGCGCCCTGCCTCCTGGAGGGCATTTTTGCATGTTTCCATTATTGGGTCGAGATCGTTTTTTTGTTTGTTTGGACTTAGAAACTCTGTTTACTGGCTTCCTCCGTGGCTCAGCTAGTTAAGAATCCACCTGCCAAGTCAGGAGACACGGGTTCGATCCCTGGGTCAGGAAGATTCCCCTGGAGAAGGGAATGGCAATCCACTCCAGTATTCTTGCCTGGAGGATCCCATGGACAGAGGAGCCTGGCCGGGCTACAGTCCCTGGGGTCGCAGAGGCGGACACTGGGTGTGGACTAAACAACAACTCTTTTTACTGCTTCAGTGCTTTCATGAACTTGATCTCAAATTGGGTTTGCATCTTTTGGTTGGCATGATTAGCTAAATGTTTTTGTTTTTGTAAACCGAGGTTCCACGTTTGGAGCTGTGGTGACTGGAAAGCTTAATCAACCTCTCCTACCTTAGGGGATTGGAACTTCCCCACACAACTGGTCTTCAAACATAGCTCCAAACATAGCTCCAAAGTCACCCCCGATGGCAGTCTTGCTTTTGCCGATCACCACAATGTTGTTCTACCTAATTCCAATATGCAAATTAGAGACATCTTGGCTAACACACAATATAACTATAGTATCTTTAAAACAATAAAAAATCAAAACTATTAGTAGTTGAATAGGAAAAAAACCATTGCTGAATCAGCAAATTTTAGTTTTTCCTTTATTTATATTTATTCTTGTTTTCGGGACAAGTAGATATAGGTATCAGAGGATTAAGAAAAAAGTTATGGGAAAAATTTAGTTGAGCCTTTTGATTTAAGTCAGTTCTTTTTTTTTTTAAATAACCAATTCTTGTTACTGAAGTTTAGTTAATTTACAATGCTGTGTCAATTTCAGGTGTGCAGCAAAGTGACTCAATTGTTTATATATATATATATATATTCTTCAGATTCTTTTCCATTACAAGTTATTTGTTGTTCACTTGTTCAGTCATGTCAGACTCTTTGTGACCCCATGGACTGCAGCATTCGAGGCCTCCCTGTCCTTCACCATCTCCCAGAATTTGCTCAAATTCATATCCATTGAGTCGATGATGCCATCCACCCATCTCATCCTCTGTCTCCCCCTTCTCCTCCTGCCCTCAATCTTTCCCAGCATCAGGGTCTTTTCCAATGAGGTTATTATGAGATATATAGTTCTCTGTGCTATACAGTAGGTCCTTGTTGTTAGTCAAGAATTCTTGACTGTTCTGCAAGCTGGGGGTGCTGCGGGAGGGGTATACGTGTCTTGGAGTAAGCAGAGCTCTAAGGCACGGTGGTCCCCAGGCAGGATCTACTCAGTCACTTGCTGAGCCTTTTCGAGTATCACCTGAGGCCAGACTGAGTCCCAGGGGCAGTCTTGTGTCCTGGCTTCCTCGATCTGCTGGAAGGTGTCCAGATGGCCTGGATTCCAGGAAGCTGCACATCAGCTTCTATATGGGAGCAGAGGCCCTTTCAGAATCTCTCACTGGGCCCCTGGTCTCAGACCTCCCAACCTTCTCAGCTTTGCACTCAACCCATTCCCCCGCCAGCGGGCGCAGGGCTAAGACCAGTGGATGCTCTCTATTCAACCGTGTATCTCCTGCCTCTTTGTGAGTGTGAAATACATTAAAACAAGCAAACCTTGAATAAACATAGTACCTACTATGTGCCAGAAGCTTTTCATAATTTAATCCTCTCAATGGGCATATGAGGTGACTATTTTACTGAACGAGAAGAGAACTTTCAGAGGCAGCATGATTTATCTAAGATCCACCGAAGTAGATTACCAGAAGCGTGTGTGCTCAGTTCTGTCCGACTCTTTGGGATCTTATGGACTATAAGCGGCCAGGCTCCTCTGTCCCTGGGATTCTCCAGGCAAGAATACTGGAGTGGGTTGCCATTCCCTTCTCCAGGGGATCTTCCCGACCCAGGGATTGAACCTGATTTACCACAGAGCCAGGGGTTAAATCTATGCTGATCAGATTCCCAGAACCTGTGCTTTGTTCAGGGTGCTGGAGCGCTTCAAAAACACAGCAGTCACCAGTGCCAGCCCCTTCTGTCACATGATGTGCACCTTCCACATGCAATATGTTTATGAAATAGCGTATCCTCTGAAAATGAGGACACCGAGACCCTCAGTGGGTGGTTGAGAAAACTGCAGCCTGTCCAAGGTCACACAGTTGATAATGGTGGAGCCAGACCATTGCTCTTTCCACTGCCCAGGTGCCTTTTGCTTGTTTACACAGGCACAGTTTTCATGGGCCCCTTATGACCAGATAATGTGTTGTTTTCGTAAGCATTGTAGACAGGTCATTTGTTTCAATTCACAGAAGCGTCTGTTAGCCTCAGCTAATTTAAAAAGTAATGTAAGAAGGTTAGTGGTGTGTAAAGTGGCAAGTTGCCAGCTTATACTAGAAGATTTAGATAATGTATTTTCTTAAGCTGGCTATTTCACTTTTTAGGAATTTCAGTTCAGTTCAGTCACTCAGTTGTGTCCGACTCTTAGCGACCCCATGGACTGCAGCATGCCAGTCTTCTCTGTCCATCACCAACTCCCAAAATTTGCTCAAACTCATGTCCATGAAGTCGGTGATGCCATCCAACCATCTCATCCTCTGTCGTCCCCTTCTCCTCCTGCCTTCAGTCTTTCTCAGCATCAGGGTCTTTTCCAGTGAGTCAGTTCTTCGCATCAGGTGGCCAAAGTATTGGAGTTTCAGCTTCAGCATCAGTCCTTCCAATGAATATTCAGAACTGGTTTCCTTCAGGATTGACTGGTTTGTGATCTTCCTAAATTTTAGGAATTTACCCTTGGGAAATAGTCAGAGATGCATAAAACTATAAAAACTATAACGAATGCACATGTGCATGTCAGCAATATTGTATGTATAGATAGATATAGACATATCTCTCTCTATAGATAGATAGATAGATAGATAGATAGATAGATAGATAGATAGATATAGGCTTTCCAGGTAGTGCTAGTGGTTAAGAACCCACCTGCCAATGCAGGAGATATAAGAGACGAGGGTTCGATCCCTGGGTTGGGAAGTTCCCCTGGAGGATAGCATGGCAATCCATTCCAATATTCTTGCCTGGAGAATCCCATGGACAGAGGAGCCTGACAGGCTACAGTCCACTGGGTCACAAAGAGTCAGACATGACTGAAGCAACTTACACAGCACACAGCATATATATATATAATTTATTCTGCAGTATAGGGAAAAATTGGAAGCAATCTGAATGTCCACTATGGGGCTTGGTTAATTAAATATGACATGCCCTAACCAGCTTGAGGAATGACTAACAATAGGCTGCTGAGTGAAAAAAGCAAGTTATAAAATTATAAATATCACGGCCTCATTTTAAGTTTATATCCACACATCCTGGCTAGTCTAATTATGAATGATTTCATTTTTGTTTTCAGACTTAAAAAACTTTTTTCAACAGCATATTACTTTTATGACAGAGAAATGTTAAAACAGTAAGAGCTTATTCAGCGAATGCCCAAGTTATTTTAACTACTAACTTTTAAGTAGTTGAAATTATTCTAGCTCTGAGTGGTAAGCACAAACCAGCCTAAACTTGTCTGTGGGCTTGAGCTCATAATCCCTTGCAATCCCTGAAGCCAACGATTATTACACAATGTCTTCACTAACAGCAGCAACGCTTTACGCATTACGTGTGCACATTGTTCACCCCATAGTAATGAAACGTCCTCTGGCTTCAGCTTTAAACTCACAGCCTTATGCTTGAATTTCAGACAGATAAGGTGCAGTTTCTTAATCAGGGCTATTTAGTTATGCTCTGTAATGGGGCATCAGGTACTCTCAAGTTGACAAAACATTTGCTTCTGGGAAAGGGCAGTCTTACTCATTGGCAAAAAAGAGATTTTTAAAAATAGCTTGAACTCAATCATTTGGTTTTGTGTATGCCACAGTAACCAAAACATTCGTAGCCAGACCAAAATAAGTGCCAGGAATGTGTATGTGTTACTTCAGATGTTACCTCTCTGAGGTGCTGAAGTGCTTGGTGGAGCAGTCTCTCAGGCTGTCTTCAGCCAGGCAGTGCAGCAGGCTTCTTCCCGTGCGTGCTTGTTAACCGTATTTAAAATCACTAATGTTGAGATATTAGTAATATAGTCAGTGTTACTCTTAGAAAACTATTACTCTTAAAAACCCCCTTACTCTTAAAAATGTGCTTACCATTTACTCTTAAAAACCCCATTTTTTAAAACTCATGTTAAAAAATATTGGTTATGTATTAGAAGAAGCCCCTGGTGGCTCAGATGGTCAAGAATCTGCCTGCAATGCAGAAGACCCAGGTTTGATCCTGGGTTGGAAAGATCCCCTGGAGAAGGCAGTGGCAACTCACTCCGGTATTCTTGCCTGGAGAATTCCATGTGTTAGAAAAGGACTTCTGACAAAAAGAGTGTTTCTGCTTATGTTTGATTTAATAAAAAATAATTTATATACATTTCAGAGTTGCATGAAGTCATATGTGCCTGTAACAAATTCCTTTGTCTTTTCTTATTAGGTGAATAATAAAGTTGTTAAAGATGGGTAAGCTGAAAGAAGTAGCCTGAGATAATCAGTATTCCTTTACCCATAAACAATTACTTTTGGCACATTCTGTCTGTGTGATTGTGCACGTGTGTGTGTAACCATGCTATGTGTGTTGCTTTCTTCTTTATTAATATCAGGAGTATCTTGTAATACATTGTCAAGTGTCTATATAAGTACATTTATGAATATTTTTACTTAAGAATGATATATAATAATATTCTAATTGGTTATTTACTTGATATACATTTTTAACCACAGTATTTTAAACTCAAAATATTTATTATTTATAATAATCTGGACCCTTACTAAAATCCTTTCCTTTGAGTTTCTATTTTATAAATAGTATCGAGCTGATATCTTTTGAAATAACTGCTCCTCAAAAGGATATGAGCATGTCCTACCTATGGCCAAGTCTACTCTCTAGCAATTAGAGTGAATAGAAGCTTTCAATGTATCTCTTGCTTTCAACAGAAATGAAGAGGTCTGGCTTTTCAGTCTTTTTGGGTTCCAACTCCAAAATTTGTTTATTTGTATAATTTACAGTGCATATCAAGAACCCTGTACGTTAGTCACTCAGTCATGTCTGACTTTGCAAAATATTTCCAGTACATAGTAACAAATTATGAGGATTAAAAGTTTGGTCCTAAAGACCTAGCTGGCTTTTTTATGATTGCATTATAGTTTTAAAAGACATTTTAACATTTATATTTTGCACAAATGACACGATCCCATGATAAAAAATAAAAAGTTACAAGTCTGCCTCCCATTCTAGGAGGGAGACTTTGACCCCCAGTTCCCCCTCAGAAGTCCCCAGTGCTTCATTCTAGAGTCATGCATATGTGTCATACACAGGTGTTAATGTAAAATACAGTCTTTTCCCTTTTAAAGCATCAACTTATACTATGCATACAAAGTTCTGAAACTTTGCTTTTTTAACAATCTATATAGAGAATTTACCATATTTCGTTAATTCTAAATGTACGTTCCCCTCAACCCCCTCCCCCCTACATGTTTTAACAACTCTGGAAGCCAGATGTAGCTTATAATTAATGGCATCTTAGATTTTATCAAATACAATAAATACATAAAGAGTCTCCTCATTCTTTTTAATGGCAAAATTGTCATTCCTTGTGTGGATGTACATTTCTCTTTCGATGGACATTTAAATTGTTTCCTATCTTTTGCTTTTAAAGAACAATGAGTAACCTTGTACACATGTGTAAATTCATCGGTGGGATAGATTTCTAGAAGGATATTGATTGGATCAAAGGATTGGTGTATTTATATTTTTGACAGGTGATAATACACTGCCCACCAGCGATATGTGCAAATGCTTATTTTCCCAGCATTTCAGCAGCTTATTGTTACCGAACTTTTGAACCTCTGCCAATCTCATGGATGGAAAGTGGGTCCATCTCAATTTGCCTTTTTCTTATCATCAGTGAGGTTAACCATCAGTTAATGTGTTTAAGAGTCATTTGTATTTCCTTTTCTGTGAACTTTCTGTTAATAGTCTTTACCCATTTGTCTTAATGGGTTATACAATATTTTCTTCCTGATTTGTAGGAGTATTTATATATTAAGGAGACATACATGTTTGTCTCTGATTTGAGTTACAACTGTTTCTTCCAGTCTGCCATCTTTGCTCTTGATGATTTTTGCCATAAAGAATTTGTCTGTGTGTGTGTGTGTGTGTGTGTGTGTGTGTGTGTGTAGGTGAATTGTTCATTCTTTTCCTCTAATGCTTATGGGTTTACTGTTTTCCTTAAAAAGATTTTCTCCCCTCTGAAGTGATTTTAAAAATTCTCTTATGATTTTTCTAGTGCTTTTATAATTTTTAATGCAAATAATATTATACTTGTTAAATTAATTTTCGATTTTTTAACTCTGTCCAGAATTTATTTTGGTACATTGTGTTAGGTATAAATCCTACTTTGTTTTTTTTTTGTCCCTACTGAGCAACCCAAGTGTCTTATTGAATCTCCATCCACACTTATTTTGCATGTGTTTGTGTCTTTTTCTGGATTTTCTTGCTATTTAAAAACCATTTAAAAAATGTATATGAGTGTTAATACACCTTCAGTCTCATGGTAAAAATTCAATCAATAGTGAGATATATGGTTTTGAAAAAGGGCCCTTTGCTTCGATCCCATTTAGACCTTTTTCTGCTATTTATCTCTGTTCATAGTACATATACACATCTATCTATCTGTCTATTTATAGATACATCTCACATGTAGTTTGAGGAGTATGGAGTTTATTGATATCTAGATCTATCTATTTGTCTAATTACATTGTATGCAGTATCCTCTGGTTGCTTTCGTCACCTCTCATCCTATGTCTTACAGTTTCATGATAGTTTATATAGCTCCACCTCATCGTTCTTTTTCATCTCTGCCTGGATTTCTAGTATGAATGTATCACTCCTGATTTAGCCACTCCCCTACTGTTACATAGCTAGGTGGTTTGCAATTTTTTCCCTAATTTTAGCAAGGCTTATGAAGTGTGTAGCATTGCTTCTTTTTGACTTACGACAAACCTAATTTCAAAATGGTTATGTGATTGACTTACTATTGTGCAGTTCATGGGGAAGAAAATCTGGACCATGTTGTGTGATGTGTTATTAATATTTTGTGATGATCTTGTTTTTCTAGATAAAATTTGATCCTGGGACCCTTCTTCTTAGTACGCACCGTCTAATTTGGAGAGATCAGAAGAATCATGTAAGTTTGAATTATTTGCAGCAGTTCTAGGTCTTAAGTCACTAATTTCTTTTCTTTCATTTTTTTCTTTCTGGCCAAACTATAAGTAGATGCGATAAATTTTTGCTTTCAGACGTCAGAAGAATGTGTCCCATTGTCTCTCTCCATGGGGTGCAGATAGAGGAGTTAAGGTTTAGCCTCTCATTCAACCCAGAAACAGATGGTGATTACTGTATAGAGAGTCATGGTGACTCCTGGATTTTAAGCCCAAATCAGATCCTCCCCCACATTCGAGTGTCAGCAGTCCTTAAAGCAACTCAGTCTCCCTGATTGTTGTTGAGAAACAGGAGGACGCCTGCTGCTAAGTGCATGTTTCCACCTAGATGGTGAGGGGAACTGCCTCTGGGTCACTCAGCAAGAGGAGAGACCCCCCTTCCCGCACCGTTTTTGCACTTCTAGGAGGAGAGGACTCAGTTATACGTATAGACCTGACATTTTTATTTCAAAGAGCTTTAACTTGAAAGTGTGTGTGTGTGTGTGTGTGTGTGTATCTGTGTGTAGGTTTCTGTCTTGTAAAAGAAGCAACACAACATGGCCCCCAACCCCATGAAATTTTAGTTCTACAGGTAAACTGTGTACTGTACTGAGGCTCTTGGGAAGGTCACTAACCACTGCAAATTCTGGCTCTTTTTGCCCTGCAAGAACCAGTTTTTTCCCCCTTAGTGGTGATATTGCCCTTGTTGATAATGCATGCCTCAGAATTGGTAATTTGCCTAATTCTTTTTAAAGAAATAAGCATTCAAGAAAGACATCCTTTTTTGGAGGGATAGCTGTCCTCAAGCCATATATTTATAAATTATTCTTAGTATATAATTTTTTTGATTATCATGGAAGGAAGCTAATATGGCTATCATTTAGACCTATTCAATGCCAATTATTCATAAAGAAATGAAAAGTCATTATAGAACTTTATTCCTATTTCTAGTTGATCATAAGTTTCTCAACCTGCCACACTCCCCATACAGTTATAAAACAAGGATTTCTGAGGAATCTTATGGATCCTGTTTTCTTTTGATTCCCTCCCAGGAATGCTGCATGGCCATTCCTCTTTCCCAAATTGTGTTCATTGAAGAACAGGCAGCTGGAATTGGAAAAAGGTAAGGTCTGTATATGACTGTCTTTATGCACAAAAGCGTTTCTCATCAAACCATCCTCATTAACTTGGTTGTGTCATTGCCTAGTCAGTCATGGCCGTGACAGCCTGTGTGTGAACAAATCTGTTGATTGTGTTTAACTTGAGAAAGTCTTGTCTTGGGGGAATAGAGAAATAGGTGAGGAAGGTTAAGAGGCATAAACTTCCAGTTACAAAATAATTGAGTCATGGGTATGAAAGGGACAATGTGGGGAATGTAGTAAAAAATTAGGTCATATCTTTGTACGGTGTCATATAATAGGCAGACGCCTGAGTAGCTCAAATGGTAAAGAGTTTGCTTGCAATGTGGGAGACTTGGGTTTGATCCCTGGATCAGGAAGATCTCTGGAAAAGGGCATGGTAACCACTTCAGTATTCTTGCCTGGAGAATTCCATGGACAGAGCCTGGCGGGCTACAGTCTATGGGTTGGCAAAGAGTTGGATACAACTGAGCAACTTTCACTTTCATATAATAACTAGACTTATCATGGGATGGTTTTGAAATGTATAGAAACATCAAACCTGTCTGTTGTGTAACAGAAACTAACATAGTGTTGGAGGTCAGTTACACTTCAAAAACAACTAAATCCATGGAAAAAGAGATCAGATTTGTGGTTGCCAGAGGTGGGGCGGGGAGGGAAGGGAAAATTTGATGAAAGTGGTCAAAAGGCACAAACTTCCAGTAATAAGATAAATAAGCAATAGGGATGTGATGTATGACATGATAAATGTAATTACCACTGCTGTATACTATATATGAGAGTTGTCGAGAGAGTAAATCCTGAGTTCTCCTCACAAGGGAAAAAAAATTTTTTTTTCTATTTTTTTAATTTTGTATTGGATGTTCACTGAATTTCCGCTGGTAATTGTTTCATGATGTATGTAAGTCAAATCATTAATGCTCTACACCTTAAACTTCTAGTGTTGTATGTCAATTATATCTCAAAACTGGGGGAAAATATCTATGTTTACAAAAAGATGTTATCCTGTTTAAACTCATTGGTAAATGGAAGTCATTCTTAAAGCATGAATCAAGTACTAAGGTTATTGTGGTATCCTCAGGTCATAATAAATAAGTGTGGGTCAGCTGTCACTGAATATATTTTCATAGACAGTTGAATCTTTTTTTTTCCCTGACACACGGCTTGCAGGATCTTAGTTCCTTGACCAGGGATTGAACCCAATCCACTGGCAGTGAAAGTGCAGAGCCCCAACCACTGGCCCACCAGGGAACTCCTCTGACATTTGCTTTTAAGCGTCTGTGTATCTCTCATGGTCACCTGATGTGAAGAGCTGACTCCTTGGAAAAGACCCTGGTGCTCAAAAGGTTGAAGGCAGGAGGAGAAGGGGACGACAGAGGATGAGATGGTAGGATAGCATCACCAACTCAATGGACATGAGTTTGAGCAAGCTCTGGGAGATGGTGGAGGACAGAGGAGCCTGGCGTGGTGCAGACCAGGGAGGCACAGAGAGTCTCCATGACTTAATGACTGAACAACAATAGCATCTCTCATTTGGTACTTAAGACCAGCAATGACCCATCTGAGAAGAATGCCTGACTGACTCCTAATTCTAGTTGACCATAAGTTTTTCAGCTTCAACTTTTTCAGGCATCAGTGTTGAATACAGCGTCACAAGAGTTATCGTCCAAACTGGGAGATTTATTAGAATAATAGGGGACCCTACTTATCATTAGACCAGGCAAGTATAAAAAGCAGGACTGTCCCCAGGCAAACCAGGAGATGTAGTCACCCTGGTTTAAAGCCACAGGTTAAAACATTTCTGTTTATTCAAGTATATAAGACGTTTTGGCTTATATATACTCGGGTGCATGCAATTGAGGACCACTTGCAAACAAATATTGCTGGTAAGGAGTTTTTTCCCTACCTGGGCTTATCTTTAGATTTCATGTAGCCAGCTCCTCCAGTCAAAGAACCCAGTCCCTCAGCAGTGAGAGCAGAGTCCTAACCACTGGACTGGCAGGGAATTTCCATGAATCTTTTTATGCTGACTTTGTTTACACTTCATTTTGTATCATCTTTTAGCTTTTCATTGAGTTTCCTTTGAAAAGTCCTGATAGTTAGGGCTCCAGGTTTTTTAGTTTTAACGGTTGTATGGTGCATGTGCTCACTGAACTGATCCTAATTGTCATGGCTTGTTTCCCTGACAGTTCATTTCAAACAGTCTTGGGGTTCTGCTTACACGGTTTTATTTGCTCTCTTCACTTAAAGATGTTCCCCAAGAAGGAACCAATGGAGAGTCTGTCCACGCCTAGCCCCAGTTCACTAACCAAAGCATTGGTGACATCAAGGAGGTCCCACACACGGTGGTTCAACTTTAGGATGATATTTAGGCAGCTCTATGGGTCTAAACAAAGTAATACTGCATAATCAGTGTATCCCTTGTGTTGGCCCAAAAGTTTGTTCTGGTTTTTCTAGAAGATGTTATGGGAAAACTCGAACGCACGTTGTGGCCAACCCAATATAATGCGGTCACAGAGAAAAAGGTCTAAGCTAGGTTTGCAAGATACTTTTGAGTTTTTCAGTTTTGCTTATGTTGATAGGAGATTGTTTATTGGGCTGGTTGGGGGGAAAAAAGACATAGAACTGAACAAATACAGTGGTGTTTTTCATGGCATAGAAGATAGCAGTTGTCATAAAGATCATGGCAGTTTGTGATCCTGGGGCAGCAGCGTTTTGAGAATTGTTTTTGCTGCAGGATATCTCTCTAAATCATGCCATTGATTGAGTGGCATTTTCCAAAAATGACACTGTGGAATGTTAGTTTTGGATGGAGTTTTAATAAAATGTCAGCTGGCCAGTTTTACACAGATAAGTTTTCACATTTTGTTTTCAAATGAGTCCGGTCGTATGCCTTGGCAGAGATGATGAGCCCCCTGGTCACCTTTGGCGATGACTCTGTGGGTGGAAAACCTGATTGTCAACCAGTATCATAAACCACCCCACATTCTGCAAGTTTATTTTGAACTTATTTCCTAAAGCCATACTTTTATTTAATCTACAGAGATGGTAATTTGAATTTTTTGGTGCACGGCGTGTATGTTTTAAATAGATTTTTGAGAGGTTCATTAATACTGAACTGATATAGACTTTGAAAAGATTCCTTTCAGGATGTTCTTTGTTTCTACGTGAATTTTTTAAGTGATCTGAAATACGTTAAAAGTTACAAAAATAGAATTAGTTTTTTTTTTTTGGCTGCGCGGGTTCTTCACTGCTGCATCTGGGCTTTCTCTAGCTGCGGTGAGTGGGGGCTTACCGTGGTGGCTTCTCTGGTTGCAGAGCACAGGCTGTAGGGCACGTGGGCTTCAGGAGTTGGTGCTCCTGGGCTCTGGGGCACAGGAGCAGTAGTTGTGGTACGCGGGCTTAGTTGCTCTGCGGCATGTGGGATCTTCCCGGACCAGGGATCAAACCCGTCTCCCCTTCGTTGCATGGTGGATTCTTAGCCACTGGACCACCAAGGAAGCTGCCAAATTAGTGATTCTTAAAGGGCAATTAAATACATTCCATCTGCTCTTTCTTTAGCGCCAAAATAGTGGTTCATCTTCACCCAGCTGCTTCTAACAAAGAACCTGGCCCGTTCCAGAGCAGTAAGAACTCCTACATCAAGCTCTCCTTCAAGGAACATGGCCAGATTGAGGTAAGTCTCCTTATGAATAAAACTGAACTAGAAAAGGGCATTTGTATGAATTCTGGTTGTTGTTTGTTTATAGGATGGAAGGCAGTATTGCTCAACCTACCAGTTTTCACCATATCTTTCCAGTAAAATTTTTATCATCTCTTAAACTTGATCAGTGAAAAATATGAAGTTTAGGTTTCAGTGGGAACAGGAAGCAGGTGGATGTGGGAACAGGAAAGATCGGAGGCTGGAAATGAGCTAAGTCGTGGCGCTAGGTGACCAGTGAAGTGTTTGGTGCTGTAATTTGTTTGGATGAAGGGACAGAGGATGATGCAGTGAAATGTGTAACTTCCTCTGTGCCTGAAAGTTCACCAGCCTTACACCAGGAAGTCTACCTTTATTAACTCCATACAAATCTAACAGTTGTAAGTTCTTATTCCACGGTATCATGGTTTATATGTTCTGGCTAATAAGTTGGTATGTGAATATTCTTTAGACACTGAAAGGCCTGTGTTTATCTCCCCACCAAGGTCATAAAGTATTTATGTTCTTTTTCTTTATAGCATCTGACCCAGTGTTCTCAATCCCCAGGCTCTGAGCAAATTGAGGTGACTAACTCAAGTCATTCTCACTGTAGCTGAAAGATACAGTTTTGGTTTGCTTTTTTTTTTTACGAGCATAGGCATGTTTTGGCCCTAATATCTGGCCTCACATTTTAACTGGACAAATTATTCTCTGCTTCCTTCATGGATAATGGTTGTGTATTTTTCTTGGCACTGGGTCAATTTCAGTATGGATCGAAAACAATCCACACATGCAGGATTGTTTAAAGTCAGTCTATTTATTTCATTGTCACTCATCTCTTTGTTGAGAATAGCTCACTTTATGTAGAAGGTCAGTTCCTTCTTTTTTTTTTTTTTCTTTCTTTGTGTTTTCTGAAGTCGATCCAAGAAAAGAACTTCCTTTGATTTCCTTTGATGTCTCTGAGAATTCTAGGCTTGTCACAAATGACCGAACAGACCTCTCAACTAAACAAATGCTAAGTAATGATGTGTATGAGGATGCCACAGCCTGCCTGATTCAGTATTGTGTATTAACACATATATATGGAATCTTGAAAGGTGGTACTGATGAACCTATTTGCAGGGCAGCAGTGGAAATGCAGACTTGTGGACCCAGTGGGGGAAGGAGAGGGTGGGACAAATTGAGAGAGTAGTATTGAAACATATGCACTACCAGATGTAAAATTAGATAGGCTGTGGAAATTTGCTGTGTGAGGCAGGGAGCTCAGCTCAGGGCTCTGTGGCAACCTAGAGGGGTGGGGTGGTTGGGAGGTGGGAGGGAGGTTCAGGAGGGAGAGGACATATGTATACCCATGGCTGATTCATGTTGAGGTATGGCAGAATCCAGCACAGTGTTGTAAGGCAATTGTCCTTCAATTAAAAATAATTAAACAAATTAAAAAAAAAATTAAGTGTTTGTATGTGCATAACAGTTTTACAGGCGTCTATCGGAGGAGATGACACAGCGAAGGTGGGAGAATATGCCAGTTTCCCAGTCATTACAAACAAATCGAGGACCCCAGGTATTTTCTTAACTGTTTCCTAATCCAGTGTTTTCAGCTCTGTCTTTGCATCTTCATTAAAGGAAAAAGAGTTCTCTGATTGTAGAGCTTGCCAGAAGCAAAATAATGATGTTCTAATTAGAACCTTATTTTCACAGAACCTGACTTAGTACTCTATAGACAGTAGACACTTGGAAATAACACATGATTAACTACTTACCAATGTAATTTCAGGGTGGCAGAAGTTAGATTCCATCTTCTGGCATTGTGTTCTTCATAATTAGTGTGGCATCTGAGAGAACAGACAGTAGTACCACAGGGTGACATTTTCCAGGCCAGTCTCATTAACCACCAACTCTGGACAGACACTCAAATGTGTAAAAGTAGCTTGTATAATAACTGTCAAGTACCAGAATTTTAACTCAATTTTTTGCACATTTGAGACCCTATTAAGTATCTGATACATACATGATGACTTGCCAGAGAACAAAAATGAAGAGGAAATTTAATTTATACCTGAAATACAGAGTAAAATATGCCATCCATTGTTATGTTCAGTTTTTATTTATAATGAGTTGAAGGTCATTACGTGTGGCCATAAACCGACAAACATTTTGAAAGGAAACTTGAATGTAACCGTGTGCTGTTTTTCTTTGTGAGTCCTCTCTTGCCACTGAACACACAATATGGTGGGGTTACAAAAGCGTGTGTTCTTCCTATGTGGAACGTTTTATTCTCTACTTTTGTTTTTTAGCCAGGAAGAATAAGGGCTGTAGGAATCGTAGGTATTGAAAGGAAACTGGAAGAAAAAAGAAAAGAAACGGACAAAAACATTTCTGAGGTAATTCTTACCCAAGTTCCTGTCAGCTGTCTTATTCAGCCATCTTGCTTGTTCTTTCGGATACAGCTGTGACTACCTCCATTCTGTGTACTGGAATATAGTTTGCCTGAAGCCACACAGTTTCCATTTAATGGGTCTCCTTCAGGTTGGCATAATTAAGCCCAAATGTGTTTTAAAAACGTTTTCCAGAAAGGAGTAAAAAAGAAATACAGCTTGATTTTGTGATGTTAGAAAACATCATGAATTATTGTGCATATATTTTAAAGTCTAGGTGGCATTGACTGGATGGTACTCATAATGAATTCAAGGTCCCCTGTATAATTATTTTGAATGTTTGGTTAGCTAGGTTCAGGGGCAAATGCTATTTGCAGCCCTTGAGCCTGACTGAACACCACCCGCTTCTGCACTGAGGACCACTCAGGGACGAGGCACGGAGGTAGTGAGAGTGGTTCAGACCAGCTTATTACGTCTTCTAGGAGAACAGCGTGCACTTTAGTGTTTCTGAAACCTCGTCATATTTGAGGATATTCAAGTAAAGGGGAGAAGGCAATGGCACCCCACTCCAGTACTCTTGCCTGGAAAATCCCATGGACAGAAGAGCCTGGTGGGCTGCAGTCCATGGGGTCGCGAAGAGTCAGACACGACTGAGCGACTTCACTTTCACTTTTCACTTTCACGCATTGAAGAAGGAAATGGCAACCCACTCCAGTGTTCTTGCCTGGAGAATCCCAGGGACGGGGGAGCCTGGTGGGCTGCCGTCTGTGGGGTCGTACAGAGTCGGACACGACTGAAGTGACTTAGCAGCAGCAGCAAGTAAATGGGAAGAACTCTAGTTTAAAAAATGAGTAGTTGCGTTAGATTTGGACAGTCAGTTAATACATCTAACACAGAGCATCAGTTTTCCCATGTTTATATGAAAATGGTCTTGCATTTTTATGAAATGATTTTATGAAGTAATTTAAAAAATTTTTATAATAGTTTGTAAGTAAAATTCTGTTGATGAGTTCTATTCATAGAATTTCAAAGATTTACCTCAATCAAATAAAGTCTAAACTGCAGATAGTTACCAGATACTTATATTAGTCAAAGTTTTTTTTAAGGAGAAGTAGTATTTCAAAACCATAATCTGCCTGCTAGAAATTTGCATCTTTATTGAGTTGATCTTTATTTGTAGCCCTTTCCACTGGAAAAAGCTAGGATTTTTTTTTTTTTTCAAGTAAAAGTGCCTCAAGAGGTCACATTGATGCTTCTTATTCAAATTCAGGACTACACTAGCAAAGAATTACTAAAACAGTTAAAAAGTATATATATATGTATTTTTGTATATGTTCTTCCCTTTCTTCCCAAATGTAAAACATAAGTGTGCTGTATCTGTTAATACTCTGTCTGTGCATTCAGCCACCATGTACCCTCTTCCATGTCCCCTGTTATTCAGTCTCATTCTTGCAGGTAACTGCGTGTGATACCCCCAGTCCTTACGTTCACTTCCCTCTGTTCATTTCTGTTGTCTGACGCTCAGCCTCTCATAGATGTTTCAGAAAGTGCTCATGGGAACAATATTCCCTGAATTCTGGCATCTCTGTGTTCCTTGTCCATGAAGGTCAGTTTTGCTGGATTTACAGTCCTTGGCTCACATTTTCTTTCCTGAGTGCCTTCAATGTGTGACTTTCACTTTTTCGTCTGACATGAAGTGTTGCCGTCAGAGTAGTGAAAACATGATATTCTCCGTTCTTTAAAATCACTTGCTATTTTTTCTAGATGCTCAACAGATGTCTTTTTTTAAAAAAAAATCAAGCTTTTGTCATTTTACTAGAATGTCTAAGTGTTAGTCATTCTGGATTGTTATTCTCAGGGACATAGTATGCTTTCAGTATTTGGTTTCAGGCATGTTTTCTTTTCATTCAGAGAAGTTTTTCTATAATTTTCAATAATCGCTTTGGTATTTTTTCCTTCTGAGACTCCTATTAGCTGTATGTTGCAGCTTTATTGCCAGTCTTCACTCTTTGTGACTTTCTTTCCAACCCTTTCTAGCTTTTTTTTTAGCATTTTTTTAGAAAAATGTCCTCTTTTTCACCTGTTGCTTCACTTAAGATATTATCTGTTGTGTTTATTCCTCTTGTGTTCATCTAGTAGTATAGTCTTTTTTTTCTTTAACTTTTCATTTTACTTATTTATTTTTGGCCACATCACATGGCCTGCCAGATGTGGGATCTTAGTTCCCTGACCAGGGATCAAACTTGGTCCCCTTGCATTGGAAGCACAGAGCTTTAACCCCTGGACCAACAGGGAAGTCCCTAGTATAGGCTTTATTTAAAAAATGATTTTAAAAAATTCATTCCTGATTTATGTTGTTCTTTCACAACTTCTATCATTTTATTAACATCTATCAGCTCATTTTGAAACCAAAGGTTAATTTTTGATCCAATCTGTGAACGTGTCTTTCTGACTTTCTTTCATTATCTGTAATGTTATTCGGCTCCTGATTTTCTTTTTTTCTTGTAATAACCTTGTGTGGGATTTGACCTTATACTTTGCTCTTGCTGATTTTCGCGTGAAATTGGTTTCCCTAAATTTTTAGAGGCAGGCCTAGCTCGGGGCGGCTTCTCTTCCTCCACAGAGCTCACTCTTGTGCTCTGTTCATGCAGGGTGCACAAGGGAGGCGACTTGCCGTCCGTGGTTTCCTGGCCCTGTACCCACCCCTGTTTTTAGCTGCCCCTTTTCCCCCTTCCTCTGCTATCCCTGCCTCACTCAGGTTTTGATTCCTGTCTCAGTAGTTTCTCCCGTGTGGGCTCCTGTCCTGGCCGGGAAGCCTGGGGGTGGGGGGTCCCTTTCCAGAGTTTACAGGCTGCTTCAGCCCTGCCCGAGGACCCCTTGCCCCCACCCACTGCCGAATGGGCAGAGCTCTCCCCGTTTCAGCCCCTGACCTCAGGTTGCCCATCTGCTCTCGAGAGATGCCTGCTGGCTGGCTCAGGGTCTCCTCTCCTCAGGTCCGTCCGCTGCTCTGTTGCCTCCCTTTTCTCTCTCTGCCTCACTGTTAAGATCAGGCAGCTCTCGGGGCTCTCAGTGGCTTGTCTCCACTAGCTTGTGTCTTGGAGTTCTTGTGGAGATCTCGTCACTCAACTTCTTCGTATCTGCTGCCTGTGGGTCTTAGAGGTTTTGAGATCTCGTTGTCCCATTTTCATGGTGGGATTTGGGGAGATTCAAAAATGATGCTGCCACAGCCCCCATCTTCCCAGAATCCTCTAGTCCCATAAAATTCCAGCCTTTTCTCATGAGAGGGCTTCTTACTATCCAGAGAGGGAATCATCCCAGGGCTGGTGACGAGACTTGGAGCCAGGGTTATGAGAACTCGGGTTTCCTGACTTGCAGACAAGTGTGGTCTGCCACGTCACGAGCGCTCTCTGCCACCCGGAAGGTGCTGTAGTTGTCCTCTTGCGGTGGCTTTTGTAGTCATCCTGTGTGACACTTGGAGGTGGCATGGAGCAATGAACCAATTTAGCATTATCAGTATTCCTGATACTGTAGCTGCCATACTAACTTGGTGTTCAGAGTAGCGTCTTTCTTAACTTACGAACTGTTATTCCACTTCAGTGTGGTTTTCATGGAGGTGCATAGTCAGAGGAGTCTACACAAGCATTGGGCTCTTGTGCAGGTCACTGATTTCTTCCCCAGACGGTCCTTGCTCTGCTTCCCAGGTGGCGCAGTGGTAAAGAACCCGCCTGCCAACACAGGAGACACGAGGGGATGTGGGTTTGATCCCTGGATTGGGAAGATCCCCTGGAATAGGAAGTGGCAAACCACTCTAGTATTCTTGCCTGGAAAATTCCATGGACAAAGGAGCTGGTGGGCTACAGTCCATGGGGTCACAAAAAGTCAGACATGACTGAGAGAATAACATGTTCAACGCTCATATCAAATTTTAGAATAATAATAGAAATAGAAGTGAGGACACTTTTAATTATGCTTTATAATTACCTATAATTTTTTATAGGTACTTCTTCCAAAGTACTAAAATATTTGTATTTATTTTTTATGGACTATGCACATTAAGGGTTAATTTGTATATTCTATGTAGACTTACCATTATTTTCAGCAGACTTTTTCTATGAAAATATAATACAGTAAATAAAATGACTTACCATATAAAAATTTAGAAATGTTGTCTTTTCATTTAGGTAAAAGAAATCTAGTAACTGTATATGCAAAGTAAAAGTCTAAGTGTGTAAAGTGTCTGCGTTTTAACTTTATTTGAAAATGAGGTTGGTATGTGATTTGCCCTCCATTTAAACATTCGAATAGCCTTAGTTTCAGGGCCATTGCCCAAAGTTTCCCACAAAAGGTTTCCTGCATCTGCTGGCCACTGCTGATAAGAATCCAGTGTTTAAGCCTTTTGTTTATCTGAGGAAATTCCTGTTAGGTGTGTGCACATTCGTTCCCCTTTGTTTTCGGTAGCAGCCCAGTGAGTTGACCATAAGAATTATACACAGCACTCTATTCTTTTAGCAAAATCTTTCTGCAGATGGGGAATACGTTCCTTCTTGTCATTAAAATGGGCACCAGCCAGGCTGAATCCATGGACCACTGTTCTCAGTGGATTGAAAGAGCTTTCAATTAATGATAAGCTGCTTAATTGGTTTTAAAAAGTAACATCTGTGCACATCAGTTAGATGCTGTTCTGCACTGGAAGTATGTGAGTGTGTGCTCAGTCATGTCCAACTCTTTTGTGACCTCATGGACTGTAGCCTGCCAGGCTCCTCTGTCCATGGGATTCTCCAGGCAAGAATACTGGAGTGGGTTGCCCTGCCTTCCTCCAGAGGATCTTCCTGACCCAGGGATCGAGCCTACATCTCCTGCATTGGCAGACAAATTCTTTATCATTGAGCCACAAATACTTGAATTATAAATATATCTGATTAAGTTCGAAGAGGCCTTTGAAGGGGATGTTCATTGTAGTAAATCAAACAGGTGATGGGTTTTATTTATATGTTTTGGTGGTATTTAAATGTTCTTTTGTGATATCCAGTTTAGCCAAGGCTACAAGTATAATCTGTGTAATATTCAAGGCTGAGGTTTATGGTTTTGGTTAATCACACCTGCTACTAAGGCCAAAATTGTTGGATCCAGAGAAGTATTCCTGCAGCTGCATGTTGCCATTTTCGGCCAGGAAAACTGTACAACACCTGTGATTCTTGACCTCTTATCTGGGAAAAACCGGTGACAAATTTTCTTACTTGTGTCAAAGAAATAATATTTTCTAAACTATTATGTCACCTTTTGTTTGTTTAACCAGTAACTGTTTTCTTTCTGAAAAGTTGTTTTCTGCAGTTGGTTTTGGAAATTTGACCGCTTCTAAGCTAAACTGAATTCTTTAGGATAAGGTAGATTTATGACTATATAACTATTCATATAAATAAATTGATATTTGTCAGAAAATTTCATAAATTTCTATCATAGGGAAGAAAATAGAGTGCTTCATTGCTTTAAAACATCTCAGTTCTTTAGACAGATTCCAACAAAATCTCATTTCTCGTTTCAGGCCTTCGAAGACCTCAGCAAGCTAATGGTCAAGGTATATGTCATGTACATCTATTAAATTCATACCAATTAATAAAGCACTTTTGAAAATATATTTTGTTAGCAGACATTTAGGGACATTATTTCTTTTTGCTCTTTTTCTGTTCTCTTGACAGGCTAAGGAAATGGTGGAATTATCAAAGTCCATTGCTAATAAGATCAAAGACAAGCAAGGTGACATCACAGAAGATGAGGTGAACAGGTTGCTTCTTTAAGGCATTGGAAACTAGATTACAGAGATAACACAAGGACATTTTGGTGGTTCACCAGCATGCTGTTTCTTAAAATAGAGTTGGATTTCTTTTAGGACTTGAGGATATATGACAATGTGGAAGAAAAGGTCAGCCTTAAAAACTTTGTTAGCTCTATCAGAATTAGAGGATATTTCAGTACTTTTCCTGGAGTGTAGGAAATAAAAGACATTGAAATGTGGAAGAAGTGATTGTTCTTGACATGCCCCTAAGTTTGACATGTCTCATTAAATTTGTCTGCAACCTGGTCACAGCTGTTTCCCTAGGTTTTGGTTTTATCACCTGGCTGACGTTAAACGGAGGATGGTTGTCATCTTCGTCTCGTCTGCCACCGAGCCTGCGGGGCAGATACGGCAGGAGACACTAAGGCAGGAGAAGACAATAATCCGGTTTATGCCAGGAAATACTAGGAGTCCACTCATATATTTCACAGCGTAGAAACACAGCAGAAGGGATGGGTAGATATAGAAACAATCGAGTGGAGCTGAATGTCTGATGGATTTCAGATGCTGGCTAGAGAGACTAAATCTGCATAGTCTTTTTGTGTATCTTTTCCTCTCATTATAGACCATCAGGTTTAAATCCTATTTGCTGAGCATGGGGATAGCTAACCCGGTTACCAGGGAAACCTACGGCTCTGGCACACAGTACCACATGCAGCTGGCCAAACAGCTGGCTGGAATACTGCAGGCACCTTTGGAGGTAAAAACAAAATCTTAATGGTCTCTTTAAATTGTGTTAAATTATTTTTGTGTCATCAGAGGTCTTAAGAGCTTAACTCCTTTCATGATGTGGCTACTATTCAACCAACATGTTTTTCCTTGCGGTAATAAATTAAACTAGTTCAGTGATTCTTTGTCAATGACTTTCTAAATTGTTTTTAATTTCCATTTCAGATATCTAAATCTGTTTGATACAAAAAATCTTTCTTATCTCCTATTTTAAAAAGGAAATATATAATCTGTATGTATTTTAAGACACACTTTTTTCATATACTGTGTACTATTAATAACTTCATAATAAAGTTTCATATTCTAGTTTAACATTATTCAGGGAATCAAAACTTGATTAAAGCACCTGTATTAAGAAATGTTTCAAACATATGACAGAGTAGGATAGCATAATGAATCCCTATGTCCCCATCATCCAGCTCCACTCAAAATTATTTTAAAGCGAATCCTAGTCATCATATCCCTTGACCTATAAACATTTAACTATGTAATTATAGTGATAAAGATGCCTTTAAATGTGATTTTAATCCCATTTCACACCTAAAAATTTAAAAATAATTTTTTAGTATTATCGATACCTAGTTAGTATTCACATTTTCTGTTGCAGTTGATTTGTTCAAGCCAAAATACATTGCAAATGTTTGATTTCTCTCAAGGTGTTTTTTTTTTTTTTTTTTTTTAAATTCTATGGGTTTTTCCTTCCCCCATCTCTTTTTTCCCATCCCCCATCTCTTTTTTCCCATCACACAATTTATTTACTGAAGAAGCTTGTAGTTTATCTTATAGAGTGTTTCAGAGTTGGATTTTGCTAACTGTAAGTTACCATGGTTCACTGTCTTATGTGTTCCCTGTAAATTGGTAGTTATGTCTAGAAGCTCTTTTTTTTGGTCCTAATAAGAATATTTTATAGAGGGTTTTGTGCATTTCCATCAGGTGATATGTTATATCTGATTATCTTTTTTGTGTGATATTAACAGCTACTGACAGTCATTATCTATATCTGTTACTTCATTAGGGGTTGCAAAATGGTGATATTCTTATTTAATTCCATCATTTATTTAGTTTTTAGCTGGAATAACTTAAAACATTTAAATACACTTTTTGAAACATAGTGTCCAACCCCTCTTTTTATTTAAGTAATGTTAAAACAGTAATTATGGCATTAAAGTCCAAATAGGGAACTTGAAGTGCCTCCTGGTATCTGAACAGGTTCCTGGTGTGTAAATATAGTTGTTAAAAGCTTCTTAAGAAATTTTATAATTTCTGATTCGCTCTGATTATGATTTCTATTAGGAAGTGCAAACTAATGCTGATTATAATGTTTCTTTTTATTTCATATTTTAACAGGAACGAGGAGGAATAATGTCACTTACGGAGGTGTACTGTTTAGTAAACCGAGCTCGAGGAATGGAAGTAAGAATATTTAGATATGCTTTTAACTAAATATAGACTTTCTTGATAGAATGCAAATTCTCCTACAATGAATACAATCTGAGGAAGGGCTGTGAATATCAAAAGTATTGATATTTTGAGAAGCGGTGTGGTGCAGTGAAAAGAACACTGCCCTGGGATCTAGAGGGTAGATTCTCTTCCTGGTTCTGCTCAGTGACTTTGAGTAGCTTCCTTAACCTCTCTGGAACTCAGGTTTTTTATCTTTAAGATAGGGTTTAGGTTGAGTGACACCTTAAAGTTCTAATAGCCTGTGTTCGTATGATGATGAACAAGACTATGCCTAGTGCCCTTAACTCTGTGATTGTTAACTGTTTTGAATGAACCTGGCTGGACTCAGATTGCCTGGAGATAACACAGCGGGAAAGCTGCCCTGTTCCTTTGGCTTAGAATCAGCCCCAGCTACAGCTCAGCTCTCACTGTCCTTTCCACCCACATGTCCTTAGCCCCCAAGGGTCTGTCTGTGCACTCTCTGCCCTCCGTGCGGATAGCTCACACATGTGTCTCCGGTGCTCACCCAGGTTCCCCAAGTCCAGGCTCTGTGTTTTTTTGTTTTTTGAATTTTTTTGACTGTGCCACACAGCATGCGGGATCTTAGCTCCCCAACCAGGAATTGAACCCACACCCCCCTGCATTGGAAGTGTGGAGTCTTAGCCACTGGGCCACCAGGGAAGTCCCTCTGCTCTGTTTTTATTTGAGCAGTCATTGTAATCATCCCCAGTGGGTACTTACTATCCACCAGGCGCTCTGCACGTGTTATCTGTTTATCCACCCCATCACCCGGTGTGGTAGCTACTTTTACTCTCCCCATCTGGGGGACAATAAGGGATGAGGACACTGAGGCTGAGAAAGATTCAATGGCTTGACCACGGCTCTACCTGGAGACAGTGTTTTGACAGAGATTGGGACCCAGGCTGGACTGGCTCCGGAGCTAGTCTGCGTGACTCACAGCTGCTGGTCATCACTGTACTGGGCTGATCCTTCAAGGCCATGTGATCCAGAAGGGTAGCCACTAGGTAGCTATAGGTGACGATCATGAACTTGAAATGCAGGTAGTCCAAATTGAAGTGTGCTGTAAGTAATTACACCCTGGACTTGGAAAACTTTGTATAGAATAAAGAAGAGTTAACTATCTCATTAATGATTTCTATATCAATTACATGGCGAATTTTTGGCTCTGTTGGGTTGAATAAAATATATGCATTAAAATTAATTTCAAAAATAAAAAAATAAAATTAATTTCACCTGTATATTTTTTAACGTGGCTACTAGAAGGTTTTAAGCTACATATATGATTTGTATTATATTTCTTTGGATACCACTGCTCTAATGAATAGAAGTCTTTGCTTCTTTGTTAATCCTTTTTGCCTTGTAAGTGAATAAGCCATCTAAAATCCTTGATGCATGATCATTTTACATTTACCTTTTCTGTTTGAGTGGTCATCATAATTACATAGCAGCACTCTATTAAAGTTGCAGTGTAAATGGTAAACTTGGATTTTCTTCCCCTTCTCTAGTTGCTTTCACCAGAAGATTTAGTGAATGCGTGCAAGATGTTGGAAGCGCTGAAGTTACCTCTCAGGTAAAAGAACCGTGCGGGAAATTTGCCATTTGTTGTCACAATTCCACCCTGAGTAGACAGAACAGCACTGTAGGTCTGTCCTCCTGCGTGGTGAGCCAGCATATGCATCACTCTTCTGGAAGTTTCTCTCACATGTGGGCAGGAATCATCTGGCACCATGGGCAGCTGTCATCCCAGCTTCCATCCTTCTCAGGGCTGTGCAGGGCCTCAGGCTGTGCAGGTGGTCAGACTCTTGCCAATGTGGGCCCCCCCCCATGAGGTCACAGTGACCAGTCTTTCCATCCTTACACATTTTTTTTTGTCTTAGTCTCTGGAGACCTGGAAGTACAAATATTCAGCTGTGAATTGTATTTTCCTTATCCTCAGGTTTTAAAAAAGATAGCCAGGTGTATTTTACTTAGCATGTGGATTACAGTTCAGAATTTCACTAACTGTTTATTCATGAGCTTTTTTGGTTATGCCTTAGTTACCCATGGTCGTTATATTTGAAATGTTGTTTTGTGTTAATATTGCCCTCAGACCTGGGCATAAATGAAAGTAAAAAAATATTTTCGCCTCCCCGAGGGTCCAAGACCCCAGATGTTCAAGGCTTTGTTCTCCCTTCTGCGGCTTTTAGACTCCGCGTGTTTGACAGCGGCGTCATGGTCATTGAACTTCAGTCCCACAAGGAGGAGGAAATGGTAGCCTCAGCCCTGGAGACGGTACGGAGACCTGGCTTCCTCCCTGCCTCGTCAGCGCTTGCCCCCCGAAGACCCCAGTGCCTAGCAACTTGAGAAACAGGATTTCCTTTTGAATTTAACTTCGCTAAAAAGTCATGTTCACAGACCCAATTGAAAACGGTTGATCATTAACAATGAGTGACTATTCATCACATTTATACTTTGAAAGCTCTTTGAAACTTGCCAGCACTCATAACATCTTGTAAGTAAGGGGAGCTAGAATGAGGGAGGTGCTTACTCCCTCTCTTTTTGAAACTCAGCCTTGAGAGTAAGTTTTTAACTTTGTCAGAGTGTTACCCGTGATTGAACTTTTTCTTTTAGTCATACCCACGTAAGCTGTATTGTAAACATTGCAAATTGTTTTGTAAAATAATTGCTTCAAAAAATATGGAAAGCAAATGTAGTTCAGGTGGATTTTGCTGGCCAAACTGATTATTTGTTAGGACCTTGAAATATTAGTGCCTCTGAGTTTCTGTGGTGAGCCTGTATAATTAGAATAACTCACATTTATTATACCTCTTATTTTAAACTTGATGAAAGTTTCAAGACTACATATTCCAATCACATTACTTAAAACCAATCCTATGTGTAAGGGTCCTTCACTGGAGCATGTACTATGCACTCAGAATTTGTTGTATGTTCCTTTTCAGACAATGAAGTACATTGCCTTTATTGGGCTTCCTAGGTGGCGCGAGTGGTAAAGAACCATCCTGCCGATGCAGGATACTTAAGAGATTCGAGTTCAATCCCTGGGTTGGGAAGATCCCCTGGAGGAGGGAATGGCAACCCACTCCAGCATCCTTGCCTGGAAAATTCCATGGACAGAGGAGCCTGTCACACTACAGCCCATGGGGTCACAGAGTTGGACACCACTTAAATGACTTTGCACACACACACACATTGCTTTATTACACAGTGTTTTAGTCTACAGTGTTTGTTTTGGGTCCTTCCACTTTTGTAGACTTAAGCATTAGTGAAGATTTAGTTCTAGAGTGATTTTAGTAGAAAATTCAGGCAATTATTTCTTGAGTATATTTGTAGATATTCACCTACTGAGGTGGCCTAAATGATCACATCTTTTCTCCTGCTCTGTGTTTCTGTTAGGTTTCAGAGAAGGGATCGTTAACATCAGAAGAGTTTGCTAAGCTCGTGGGAATGTCTGTCCTCCTGGCTAAAGAGAGGTAAGCGAGGTGTCTGCTGCTCACTTAGAGCTATCACTTGTGTTTCTGAATGGATGGATGGATGATGGTGGTTTTTTCCCCCTTGACTCCTAGGTTGCTTCTTGCCGAGAAGATGGGCCACCTTTGCCGAGATGATTCAGTGGAAGGCTTGCGGTTTTACCCAAATTTATTTATGACACAGAGCTAAGAGTTCTGTATCTGAAATAACTTGTTATCCATATACTTGCATCATGGAGAGGTTGAATGCCATTCAGCTAAGGGTAAACCCTGATAAACAGAATTTACTGGAACTTTGCAGTATCATACAAGACCCTTTTAATTTCTTCCTAAATATTATGATCCAGGAAGCTTCTCTAGGATACATATAGGAAAATACAGAAAGCTGAATGCCAATATGAATTCAAAATCATGCTACTATTGTATAGAAACCCTCAGAGTTTAACTGGAAATTTGATGGATTTTAACTCGATCTTCAAATCTGACCATTTTTTAAAGAAAAGAATTTAGTTCATAGGGGAAGAAAGAGAAGTTGTGTGTTTGGACAGGTTAGATCATTATTTAGGTGTGACTGAAATTCACTGAATTGTAAAAGAAGTTTTTCTCTGCATTTGGTGCGCACTTTGGGGGGGTTTCATGAAGAAGTTTAGACCTACAGTGTAGTTTAAGAACCTGACAACATCCAACTGCAGGATGTCACGTGAGGCTCTTCCTAAGGGCTTTTTAGACGCAGCCATAGGCATGTCTTTAGCAGATCAAATAAAGCAGCTTAAAAAAAGAGAGAATTTTGCTTGACTTCCATATATATAATCTGACCAGTTTCTTTTTTTTTTTTAAGTGATGATTTCATGGCTGGCATTTAAAGAATGCAACTATGTCATTCTGTTTTAAAAACTGCTGTGGATTTTGCTAGTGAATTAAAGAGCTGTATGGACATGCCCAGAGATACGGTTACAAATTTGGGAAGTAGACGGTTCAGGATTTCCCTCAGATTATTGTGTGGGTGGAGGGGCCTGGAAGAACCTTTAACTAGCTTTACATGAACCTTGGTGCTCTTTTACCTCAAAGCCAAGGATGGACAAATAGAAAGTGGAAATGTTAATATGTCTCCTTTTCCTTCCCTTAAGGAGTTTCACTGCTGAACTTTTAAAAACTCTATCATCCTCTAGCAATATTTTTTTCCTTTACACCACACATTATAAGTTGTGTGGAGAAACTCTCTCACTAGAAAATATTACTGAGCTGACGAAAACTGGCTAATATTGAGTCCAGATCGCTTGAGTTTTCTAGTGGACTGCCTGACTTCATTACTGCAACACGGCGTATGGTCCGTTGGCATTACCTCAAACTCAGGGACCCCACAGGGAGAGAAGGAGAGCCCCTTTCAAGGCTGAGTTGGCAGTGGAAGGTCACTGATGGGTTTTGGCCAAGCCTCTAAAAGGGGTGTTATCTGTTCTGAGAGAACCTTTGAGAGCAGGAGGCGGGAATGCTCAGGCTGAGACTCTGGGCTCCCTGAGACATCCTCACTAAGAAGTGGAGGACCACTGCCAGGCCGCTGCATTTGCCCTGTGGGCTAGGTCCGGGGACCCTCAGCTGCAGACCCAGGGAAACCTTCCACATGCAGCCGAAGTTGATTCCCGACCCCTGCCTGATCCCTGTTGCTGCTTCACATCCTCCAGTGTCACGGGAACGTCGTGGTTGAGGCATCCTGCCTTAGTTCCAAACCCTGTCGCTGATTCCACGTGGTGATGACATGCCCCTAACATCCCCTCTTGTTTGTTTGGGGGGAAATTCAGTGTCTGGCTGCCCAAGTCTTTGGAGCCATTATGTATGGTTGTTTACATGTCACTCCTGTCTGGGAAGCACTCTGTCTCTCTCTCTCACACACACACACTCATCTCATTCACTCCATATCGCATCTGGCCAAGGTTTTTAAAAATTACACAGATAAATAATCTGTTTCACCAGTTGGAATGAGTTACAACTAAGATTATTAGAGCTACTGGGTCTTCTAGCTCTAATGGTGTCGATTCATTACAGCAGACTCCCATGAGTCAGCATATTTATTTATACTACACATTAACAAAAATGGAGCAGTCTGAATTATATAAAGTGAACTAAAGTGACATGAATCTAGTTTTGCAAATGTCACATTAATTAAAAAACAGGTATGATTGATTTTATTGTTTTAAAGTGGGCATTCTTCACTGTTTCCAGACCTCTATATGTATATTTTTGTTCTTTTTGTTTTGTTTTTGCCAAATAAGGTGTCATTTTCGTTCCTTTGTTGGTAGAGGTTATGTTTAAATACAACCAGTCAGGCCCTAAGTGCAAAAAAGTTCTGTCTTCTTGGTGCTTATCACTGTTATATTATTATTTTTGCTTTCTAACTTTGCTCTTTGGAGCACAAATCTGTAGCTTTATGATAATGGAATATTTCTAGTCACATACTGTCCAATTTTTTTACATTGTACAAGTGAATGTTTTCAGGGTTAAATGATTAGTATTAATGTATATAGAGTAAAATTATTGCAAAATTTAAAAATGATTTTTAACTTGGTGTTCTTTTTAAATACTCTTTGAAAAATGTATGAAAGTGATAAAGGTTTAGTCAGAATAAGCCAGTATGTTAAGATTTTTTCTTTTAGATTTTATGATCGAGTTGATTATAAATATTTTTGACCTCAAGGTCTTACTAGTTTAGTTGTCTTAAAAAAATGGGAAATGACTCATGACCTGTTCTTTTTTATTTTTTTTAATTCTTGATGTGAATTCCACTGTTGATTGACCATGTGTATTTATGTGAAGGTACTATCTCTTGTTCCCTGTTACCAGACTAAGCCAACCAGACATGGATTTATCATGTCATTATTCTCATGCTCAGATACTTAGAATGGTTCTTCCTTGCCCAACAACCTCCAAGTTTCCATCTGATACAGCAGAGTCATAACTTATAAGATGGGTAGGTTTTAAGGACTGTGCTTAAGGATGGAATTAAGCATGCTCAAAATGATCCGTGAAAATCTCTGAAATTGCCAATAAAGTTCTCTATATAATCTTACAAGCTGTAAAGTGATACATGGCTATGAATATTTTATGACTATAGCAAGTAAAATATATAATAAAAGACTACATATCAACAGTAGACTTTTGTAGTACCAATAATTAAAGTACTTAAATATGTCTTTTTCCCCCCCTTTTTTTTCACTATGCTGATAAGTATGGTTGAATTTATGTAAATATATTGCAGATCCTACTCCTTATGATAGATCTCAAGTGTCAGCTCCATGGGGGCAGAGATTTTTATCTGCTTTGTTCATGGATGTGCCCTCAGAGCCTAGAGTGAGGCCTGGCATACAGTAAGCATCCAATAAAATGACTACCAAATGAGTGACTTCCAATATGTGTGCTTGTTTATAAATGAGCTTCACTTCACCCTACTTTCATCTCTCATTGAATTCAATAAAAAGAAACATTTTTGAATACCTGTTGACTTTGTGTGAGGAACTGGGCCACTGTGGGATACAGAAGTGAATAAGATGCAGCCCCTGCTTTTAAGAGGGTGGCCTCACTGGGAAATAGACATGTGAGCAGCCTTAACCGAAGATAGGAATGAAGTCTGTGCCAGGGCAGGGGCATGGGTGCCATGCTTGGAGGACAGAGGAGGGAGGCTTCTGTTCTGATGGAGGACAGTCTGAGAAGGTCTGGTGGGAGAGGAGGAGCTGATCCACTAGGCTCAAGAGATGGTCAGGGGAAGGCATTGGGTCAGGGAACAACAGGAGGTCTGGCCCTTCCTCTTCCTGGGCCACACTGTCCTTGTTCAGACGTCCCTTTGTTATTTCCTCCCATCCACCCACCCCAACCCTAATAATCAAAACCATACTTTGCTCGTTCCCACCTGCTCTAGAAAAATCTGTTTCCAGGACACAACTCTACTATTCCGAAACCCAGTTAACCATATATTGGGTTGGTCAAAAAGTTCATTTGGGTTTTTCCATAAGCTCTTATGAACTTTTTGGCCAACCCAACACGACTGTCTTTTATCTTGTTCTCTGTTATCTCGATGCCGTAAGAAAACAGAGAAATTAGATTTCTTTAAGTTATAAGGAATATCACATAACACCTCTTTGGAATTCCCAGTGACCTACATCAGTGATTGTACATGGTAGATTCCTAGTTGAGTATTCACTCAGTTGAGTGGCTTTTGAATTATAATGTGTCTTGAGTTGAGTCTGAAACCTTAGTCTGTGTCCTTTACCCTCTTTCTAAGAGGCTTCTTATCCACACTTGTCCGGGCTCGGCCTGTCCGAGATACGCTGTCTTATTCAAATTCCATGACATGGGCCAGTTCCATGATGTGGGAAGCATTCCAGAAAAGTTATATTAGCACACACGTAAGGTCTTATTTTCACAATGTGACAGTTGGGTCAATCATTTTCTTTCTTGTGCTCTAATAATCATGAGTCAGTTAAAGCTTGTCTCTCAAGAGTGTTATCTAGGGGGGAAAAATCTCCCTATTTATATAAAGGGTGTTATTGAGATAGGGAACACATTTTACACAATTTGCAAAAGATCTCTTGACCAGTCACTTACTCAAGATATCTTTGTCAGCCAGCTTGTTTTAGTTTAATACAGCTAAGACCATAGCATGGTTCTTTTGAAAGCTTTTTTCCTTTAAATTTCTGGTGCCTTCTTTTTAGAAAGGATTAAACTGTCTTAACTGTCTAGTAAACAGTTTGGCAAGAATTCAAATTAAAGCAAAAATGACCAAACATCTCAATAATGCTCTTATTTAAAAACTGACCAAGCACATTGATCCCAGGCCCTTGCACATCGATTGAGGTAGAGTGGGTTTCTAGGAAGAGTGTGTGTCTGAGAGATCAACAGTGAGCAAGTTGCTTTCTATACATTTCACTCAATCAGCACAAAACTTCAGTATAACTATATTAGATGTCTTTTACAGTGGAGGAAAGGAGGGGTTAAGTATTTGCCCAAGGTTATGGAGGCAAGGCTGGACTTTATTTCTGCTGCATTTAACTCCCACTCTTAAAATGAGCTCTTGCTTTCAAAACCAAAAATGGCAGGGCTTGTGGCATGTATTTAAAAGGAGTTCTCACTTGGTTGATGAATAGATAGATGTTGGACTAGATAATTCTGACAGTGAAATTGGATGGTGACCTTTGCCAACTA